TGGCATTAAGCCAAGGGTTGAGAGACTAGCCAGGAGGCAACCTACAGGTGTGGAGGATTCTGACTTGGAATATTTGCTTCCCAGGCTGCAGGGTTCTTGAAAGACGAGCTAGACAATCAGCTTCTTGAGTGTCCAACTGGGCCTCCGAAGTGTGAGGAGGGGGGAGCCTGGCTTCCCAGCTCCCCCGGAAAAGGAGCAGCGAGACTCAGGCGTCCCCAAGTGGTGTCCTTTGACGTGGGCCCACGACTCAGAAATGAAATGAATGAAAAGAGGCGCTCAAGAACCCAGCAGCAAGGGGCAGCGGCCGAAACCGAAATAACATTTAGTCAGGCACTCACTCGTAGATGCTACAGATGGCAGCTGAGAAGTCCTGGTCCGAGAAAAGGGAGGGATGGAGGAGAAAGGGGCGCCGCATTCACCCACGAGTGGGCGGGGGCCCATCAAGACACCTCTTACTCCTCCTGGGTTTCATGCACCAAATATGAGGATTTGGCGACAGAAAATAAAGCAAGCAAGCAAAGGTAAAAAACCGTTTCAGAAGTTTGTTTCAGAGCTCCGAGGGGAGAGCAGAGAAAGCATCTTGAGCTCCCGGGTGAGGTTCACGGGGTCCCCCCAATTTCACACTGTCCACGTGAGAAGTGGACAGTTTTATGGCCCAGGTCTGGAGGGGGGGGGGGGGGGGGGGGGGGGGGGGGGGAAGAGTAGCTAGGGAATTTCCCTGAAACTTTGTTGTCTGCTGGTCCGGAACTAAGCAACAGCTTTCAAAGTTATCTGTAACTGGTTAGTCTTCTGTACCTGGGCCTGAAGGCCTTGAAGGGGAGGAGCAGGGGGAACGGGCGGGGGCGGGGGTCTGGCCTCTCTTAAGAGTCCTTGGATTGTTTTCACCAGCTCTATCTCTTAGCCCACCTGCCCTGCTAACTCCCCCATCTGCCTGACAATGGGAAAGTGTCTGCTGCGGTTAATTTTAGAATGTACTGTTTCCAGCTTCTGGACACAATTAGCTTTGATTATTCTTCAATATATTGATTGTTCTGATTCAATATTGTTCTCTTTGATGTTGTAATCTGAATGGTGGAGTTAATCTTGTCATAACCAGGATGTGACAATATAATTTTGTTATGGTAACCAGGATATTATAATCAATTTTGGTATTGTTCCTTTTATGAAAAGAAATGTACTTTGTAAGGAATGCTTACTTTTTTTGAAGTTACAATTAACCCATTAATTTTGCTTTCTGTTTCTGTTCATGATTGCTTGAACCCTAGACAGGTGATGAGATTTTCGGCCTTAAAGATAGAATGAAATGTGGACTCAGGACTGCAATCAGATTATCACTTTTACATTCTAGCAGTCCGGTTATAGCCCAATAAAGACGCCTAAATGATCAAGGCATTATAGTGGTTGTCATTTATTTGAATCCCCAACAGTAACGAGGAAACCTGGCACCCTGATCAATTCCCCATATTGATGTATGGCTCAATCAGTGGTTCTCAACCTGTGGGTCGCACCCCTTTGGGGATGGAATGACCCATTCACAAGGATAGCCTAAGACCATCAGAAAACACTTCCAATGGTCTTAGGAACTGAGACACCCCTCCTCTATCCATCTCCACATGGGTATGCCCACATGAGTACCTATGGCATCATGACATCATCGCACCAACCCCATCACATACACTCCATACAAATACACGTGACGGGGCTGGTGCCATAACGTACTTACGCGGACCAATCACATGTGTAGACAGCAACTACTATGGTAAAAGCAGCTATTTTGTTGAAAGCAGCAGAAAAAACGATACCTCATGAATTGTAATTACTGGGTAAATGTAAAATCATATATATACACACATATATATACATACATACATATCTGTACCATGGGAATTTAATCTGGATGCTGATCGGTCTATTTATATTCAGCTGTGGTTGGTGTGAATACTGCCCCCTACTGATAGTAACAGGTATGTTAAAAACAGAGAGTGGTAAATCACAGAAAATTTTAATGAGCTGTATTGTATTGACTGAACTATGCCATGTATCATCTTTTGTATTATTAAAGCTATTGTTATATATTATTTTCATTACCAAACCATCTCATGACAATCGATCATGTACAGTAGAACATAAAGAAAATACAGTGAGGATTTTTCACAGTATGGTTTGACCTCAATCATTACAGCAGGAATTGAGAAACCTCAATGTCATTGGTTGTGAAGGTCTATCAGCCAAATCCCTTTTTTTGTTTATTTATTTAATCATTTTATTAGGGGCTCATACAACACTTATCACAATCCATACATACACCAATTGTGTAAAGCACATTTGTACATT